TGGATCTAGGTTCCCTCTTGAAACCTTGTAAGCCAGTCACTTCTTGCCTTTATAGCCCCCACATTTTGGGTAGCCAATGTTCAAATTGCCTATCCCTGTCTACTCTGTGTATGGAGGGGGTGGGAATGATCCTTGCTGTAAGGATTTGTTCCCTCTTTTGAGCTACTGCATCCATAGGTGTAGGTCAACTTCATTAAATTGTATCAGATTACTCTTTTTTCCCTCTTCTTTCTTCTTCTGGTTGAGCTCTGATCATCCAGCCATTGAAGTCAGGCCAAGTGGGTATTATCTGCAAGTGTGGGTGTTCTTGTGCATATGCCCTCTCTTCTTATCAGCTGGACGCTTCATTCTCCACTCTAGTCCTCTGTGGCTATGTCACTGACTCTGGGCCCAAGAGTCCCCAGGACTTGCCACACTGCTGGCCGACCAGGTCTCCACCCGGATTCACAGGAGTCTATTGAATGTTGTATGGCTTAGCTTGCAGTTTCATATAGCAATACTTTTTGATTTACTGTCATATATTCGTTGTCTGTGTTCTCCCAGTAGAGTATAAGCTATATGTTGTTGTTAAGTGTCGTCGAGTCAATTCTGACTCAGAGTGACCTTGTAGAGGGTTTCTAAGATGCTGGTAGGCTTGAACTGCCGATCTTGTGGTTTGCAGTCCAGTACTGATCCTATAGCAGCATCACGCCAGGAACCCATATAAGGGGGATCAACTGCAAATAGTGAAGCATATGAAATAACTGATGAATAAATGTTCTGGAAAAGCTAGAGACAGTGGGATCAAGAACACAAATGGAGGAGTGAGAGTGCAATTCTTCTTCAGAAACAAGAGCAAGGAAAGTAGAAGAGGGTAGAAACATTAGGAAGTCTGAGGCGTAATGCATGATTATAAGTTCCTTTCCTCCCAGTCTTTTATTACATGGTCAAATTGTTTATAGAAATAGCAGCAAGTGATTTGATTTTCCCTTTCCAGCTGGCTTTTGGAGATATGCTATGCACATAGGGTGGAAAAATCCTTTTCCAGATTCTTTTCTCTTTGGCTTTATGAGGCTTAGCAAGAGAATCACTGGGCCATACCATGTACATAAAAAGTGCTTTGGGAACTATTAAGGACTTCTCAGATGATGTGACTGTTATTTTTCTCTGGGCATGCTTTCATAGGCAGTACAATTGCCTGAATCATCAGGAAGGAACATCAGGGTGTATGCCCGCCAGGCCCCCCCAGGGGCTTCTGCACACTTTCTGAGAGGCAGCTTCCATCAGCAGTTAGAGAAAACTATTGAAAGGAGCAATAAGCTCAGATTTACAGGGCACTAGTTTTCTCTCCAAGGGCTCTGAAATGACTAAGCATTGCATTCACATAACGCTGCTGTGAAACAGATTACAATAATGTTATTATAGTGCCATTTCTGCTGCAAGGTGGAAATAAGATTTACTGCAGACTAAACAGGAAATTAGTAATAAAATGACAGCCACGGGCAAATCAAGATTTTCTGATTGCATATACATTACAGCTTTTATGTACTGTGAAGTTCAGGCTGAGAACCACCAGTAATGCAATCAGCATTCTTTTCAGTTTCCCATCTCTCCCCTCACCCCTTTGTTGTTGTGTGTTGTCAAGTCTGTTCTGACTCATTGTGACCCTATATGACAGAGTAGAACTGCCCCACAGGATTTCCCAGATTGTAATCTTCATGGAAGCAGATTGTTTGTTAGGCTGTTCTTCCTACTCTGAGTGGGTTCATTGCTGACCTTTCGACCTTTCGATTAGCAGCTAAACACTTTTTTTTTAAAGTTTTTATTGTGAATTGAGTGACAGTCTACATGGGAGAACATCGGTTTTTACACTTATCCTTTCATTGCAATGATTACAATCCCCTCTGTGCATCATGATTCAACAGTATTTGCTTCTATTCCCTCTGTGTGTTTTTTTGGGGGTGAGGGCAGTATGTACACAAAAACACTCAGGAATATATAATAATTTAAACAACCAAAAGGCACATTCTGCAAGCCTGCCTCCTGGCCATCAACTCTCAGTTCCTCTCTTTCCAGGAATCTAGAGTCCTCAGCTGCTCCCTCTCCATGTCCTCATCTCTGCCTCCATCTCTGGTGTCACTGCTTCTCCGGATAGGGTCCCGCAATCTGCTTGTGCTCTTCTCCTTTGATGGTCCTAGGGTCCTCTGTTTCTGGATGAGACTGTAAATCTTTATGGGAGCAGACAACCTCATCTTTCTCTCCCAGCGTAAGTGGTGGGTTTGAATCACCAACCTGGAGGTTAGCAGCCCAACACCTAACCCACATGCCACCAGGGCTCCTGAAATTATACAATAGGGGGAGAAAATAAAAGAAACTCCAGTCCAATTCTGAGAATAGCCAGTTAAATTCACTTATGCATCAATTACCCTTATATTCTCATTGTTGTTGTTGTTGAGTGCCATTGAGTTGGTTCCGACCCATAGTGACCCTGTATAAGGTTTCCGAGGAGCAGCTGGTGAGCTTGAACCACCGACCTGGCAGTTCAAATGGCTTTGCAGTCTAGTGCATTAATCCATAGTGCCATACCAGGACTCCTATATTCTTACCCACAGGTACAAATTAAGATCCAGACATGTATAAATAAGTTTGTGTACCTAATATTCATATACATCTTAATATTAACTCTTGTTATACCTGTGATTCTTCTTTTTATTCGGGGATGTGATTATTTTTTTTTTTCGGGGCTGGGATAGGAGTAAGGAATTAGGATTAAGACTATGAGTAGGTCTAGGCTAGGCCTAAATCTTTGTTTAGTGTTACGGCTATAGTAGGGTTAGGGTAGAGATTGGTTAGAGCTAGGAGTAAGGCTTGGTCTAGTTTTTAGGGTTATAGTTAGACATATATATATATATATATATATATATATAGTTAGACTATATGACTATATGTATATATATAGTGGTGGTGGTTATTTGCAAGGCTATAAATCTTTACTGGAGCAGAAAGCCTCATCTTTCTCCCATGCAACAGTTGGTAGTTTAGAACTGCTGACCATGACATTAGCACCATGCTACCAGAGCTCTCTCTCTCTCTATATATATATGTGTGTGTGTGTATAATATGTTGTTAAATGCCATCAAGTTGATTTCCATTCATAGAGACCCGATTTAGGGTTTCCAAGGAGCAGCTGGTGGGTTTGAACTGCGATTTTATGGTTCACAGTCCAGTGCTGATTTATTTAATTATTTTACTGAAATACATTTATTTTCTTTTCATTTCGAAGTATTGTGACTACATTATTCCCTCTTTTTACTTTGTGGTTTTTACTGTTACAAACTGGTTCCCTATTTTTAGTCTTGTAGGTTTGTTTTACTTTGAATATTTCTATGTCAGGATTGAGTCCTGGGTGATATTGTTATGTAAATTGTCAAAGATTGAATTGTGTCTCTCCCTCCCCGCCCCCCCTCCCCCCCCAAATATGCATCAGCATGACTGAGCCAGTTCTCAGTGGTTTAGTTGTTGTTGTTGTTAGGTGCCATTGAGTCAGTACCTATTCATAGTGACCTTATGCACAGCAGAACGAAACACTGCCTAATCCTGGGCTAATCTCACTACTGTTGCCACACTTGAGTCCATCGATGCTGCCACTTGGCCAATCCATCTGGTTGGGGGTCTTCCTCTTTTTCTCTGACCCTTCACCTTACCAAACATGATATCCTTGTCTAGTGACTGGTCCCTCCTGACAATATATCCCAAGTATGAGAGACAAAGTTTGCCATCTTGGGCTCCAAGGAGCATTCTAGCTGCACTTCTTCCAACACAGATCTGTTGGTTCTTTTGGCAGCTCATGGCACTTCCAATATTCTCCTCCAACAGCATAACTTAAATGCATCAATTCTTCTAGGGTCTTCCTTACTCATTGTCCAGTTTTCTCATGCATATGAGGTTATTGATTTAGTAGTTAGGTAATAATGTAATAAGCAGTCATGTAATGATGTAATCACTTCCATGTTGTAATCTGATGTGATCAGTCCTAATTGCATGTAATTATCCTATATGTTGTAAAGCCTCACTTCTATGAAAGTGGTAGAATTGATGCATTTGCATTATGGTATTGGAGAATATTAAAAGTACCACGGACTGCTAGAAGAATAAATAAATCTATCTTAGAAGAATTGCAGCCAAATGCTCCTCACTAGGATGGCGAGACTTTGTCTCTTATACATTGGACATACTACCAGGAGGCCCCAGACCCTGGAGTAGGACATCATGCTTGCTAAAATAGAGGGTCAGCGGAAAAAGAGAAAGACCTCCACCCCAACAGTGGAGTCAAATGTAACTTCCATTGTGAGGATGCAGCAGGACTGGGCAGTGTTTCATTCATTTGTGCATAGCTTCACAACCGTCTTGATGGCACCTAACCACAACAATCGGAATCCTGGTGTGGTGTTGTCTGATAAGCACTGGATTGCTAACCACAAAGTTAGCAATTCAAACTCACCAGCCGGTCCTGGGAAATCCTATACAGAGTCCCTTTAAATTGGCGCCGACTCCACAACACTCTAACAACAACCTGACATAAAGAACATCATCTTGGGTCACAAGCTTGATAACTAGAGCGTAAGGCTCAGGAAAGGCTGAGGTACAGGAGACTTAGGAAACCACAAGGTGCTGGTGACCGTCCGTGCCAAAACCTAAAAGGACACCATCTCTTATCCCTCCCGACGCTGCGGCGCCGCGCGCATGCGCACACCGCCCGGCTGGAGGGGGGCGGGCCCGGCTGCCATCTTGCAGCGCGCGAGAGTAGCCGCGGGCGCCGTTCGCCGAAAAGCTAGGCTCGGGCTGTCGGGTCTTGTTAGATTATCTCCTCTTCCTATTGGCAGCCCTGCCAAGTAGCCCTGCCCTGGCTGTCCAGGCCCAACTCTAGGCAAATGAACTGACCTGTCGCCCTCGGTTCTCGTGCCAGTGCCCACCCTGCGTGACTCGGAGTGCCCGGGCACCCTGCCTCCTCGTCGGTCGCGATGCCGAACGTGCCGTTGACGCCCAAAGAGAGTAATCTCTTCAAACGTATCTTGGTGAGTGTCCAGAGGCCGCGCCGCCGACTTCTGGTTGTCGGGGGCCAGGGGGCCCGGCGCCTCGAGCAGTGTGGCGGTGGCGCCTGCGTCGGCCTCGTCTTCCCTTCTTTGTTTATCTCTGAACCCGCAGGACCCGATTGCTCTGCCTCGGCCAGGCTCTGCCAGGCCGCACTTGCCCCCGGCCCGTTTAGAGGGGTTGCCGGGGCCTTTCCTCCGCGCGCTTTTCCTCTGCAGAGCCCCGCCCCCCTCTTGGCCGTGCCCTTTCCAGAAATTACACGCCTTCCTCGGCAGTCACACTAGCTGACCGTTTTGGCCGGGTCGCGGCTCCAGTGCCCTTTGCGGCGCCTGGCGGCGGGGCTTGAAACCTTTTACCTCCACTCGGATCCTCCAGTTTCTCCTGCCAGTGTCATTATTCACTGCTCTATGTTTAATTGATTGCACAGCGCATCCCAGTACCTGCTAAAGAAGTGAGAACGATCCGATGGTGGGGTAGGGCTCTTATTTGTACTGGCTACAAGAAATAAAACGTAACTCTAGGAAGCCAAGACTCACATCACGACCTTCTGGTTGATAGTTGGACATGCTTTTAAGGTACTGTAGTTACCTCTTTGGGAAGTAAGTTACTTGAACTCTATTTCTGAGTTACTCAACACAGTTCTTTGGTTGTTTTAACTCGCACAGACTTTTCCTTGAGTGGTGAAAGCCTCTTGCGTTACTAATTCGAAACATTTACGTTTTTCTCTAGCAGAAACCCGCAGTGAGTTGTGTATTACGGTTTTCAGGTTTCCTTCCGGAGAGAAGCTACATACTTTTGCTTTTCTCAGTGTCTGCCGGGGACTGCAGAACTTAAACTGCTTTTGCTAACTTACAGCTGACTTTTTTAGTTGATCTTTTCGCCTGAAAAACAAGTCTTTAGATTTTAAGGATTAATGTATTTAGTGTTGACTATATGGTTATTAACCATTGATTAGCTTTACTATAAACACAGATTTCCCAAGAGTTGTAAGGGTAAGCACTGGATTGCTCACCACGAAATCGATAGTTCAAACCCACCAGCTGCTCCTTGGAAACCCTCTGCGTTGCTGTGAGTCAGAACTGACTCTATCACGTTTATCAACAACAAAAATTTATGTTTCAAACCAGTGGAAACTTGAGAGTCTTCAGTTGTTAAAAATGATGGATAATAGATGGTGTGGCGCTGCAGAGTAGTGTGCTGGACTGCAAGGTCACTCATTTGAAACTGCAAGTTCAGCAGTTCCGCAGCTCGGAAACCCTATACAGAGTCATGATGATTTGTTTGGAACTGACTCCATGCCACTTAACAACAACAACAACAATGTTGAATAAATAAGAGAAGAAGGGGTCAAAACAGAAATGACACTAATAAAGCAAGACTTCATTGTATCTTTTTTTTTTTTTTTAATTTATCCTCATACTTTTCTTAATATGATATTGGAAAAGTGATCTCCGAAGGTTGTAAACCTGTCAGAGAAGGAAAACTCACATATATTGTACTAAAATGAGGGATAGAAAAATGGTAATGCTGCATGTGTGCTGTCAAAGGTGGAAAACTTGAGAGACCCAGGAAAGCACGGCAGTCCTGTTGAGTTCTGGCTCTCACGGTACTGACTTGGTAAACGCAGTAACTGTGCTTCAATTTTCCATCTAAAATAGAAATAACAATGTACCTCATAGGATTTTTCTGGATTTAAATAAGGAATAAATAGAAGGGTGCCTGACACACGGTTGTGGTGGTAATGTGCCGTGGAGTCGGTTTCGACTCATAGCGACCCTGTACAGGGTTTCCGAGGCTGTAAACCTTTATGCGAGTAGAAAGCCTCATCTTTCTCCCGTGGAACAACTTGGTAATCTCGAACTGCTGACCTTGAGGTTAGCAGTCCAATTAGTAACCACTGTGCTACCAAATCTCCTTAACTTTCAGTAGATGATAGTCCAGGTATAGTGCTGTAACATAAGCACTGGACTGCTAACGGCAAGGTCAGTGGTTCAAACCTCCAGCCATTTGTTCCTTGGACAGGGTTGCTATGAATTGGAACTGACTTGACAGCACTTCTGAAAACAACGATTGAAATACTTACAACTACTTCCAAACCACTTGATAAGTGAGAAAACACAGTATTTCTCTTTTCTTCCTTTTCTCCAGTGGTTCCTTTTGCTTGTTATTTCCTCATGCCATTTGTCAGATGAACTCCTAGAGTCAAAGCTCAGATAAACTTTCATTTCTGTCTATCTTTTTGGAGTAGGTAAATAACATCCACATAGCTTAGTGTGCAGGTTTTGCTTCTATCCTTATGGGGAGGGAATACTGAAAGGATACAACCCTGGCGAACATCTTGCCTGATTTTAAACCATGTAGTATCTCCATGTTCTGTTCAAACAATTGTTTCTCGGTCTATGTACAGGTTCCACAGGATCATAACTAAGTGTTCTGGAATTTCCATTCTTCACAATGAGATCCATATTTTGTTAAGATCCAAACTGGGTTTAGAGGTACAGAACAAGTGACATCATTGCTGATGTTGAATGTATACTCAATAAAGCACAAATAAACATCTTTTTGGTATTCTCTGCTTTCAGTGAAATTCTGTCTGACATCAGCAGTGATGTCACTTGTTCTTTATCTTCTGAATCCAGTTTGGATTTCTGGCAGCTTCCTGTGATGTATTGCTGAAACCATTTTTGAATTATGTTCAGCAAAATTTTACTTATGTCTGATACTGATTATTATTGCTATTAAGTGCCTTCGAGTCTCTTCTAGTTGACTGGCCAACTGTCTTCCAAAGTTTTTGGCACAGATGAGTGAGCACTTCACTGTTGCACCCATTTGTTAAAACATCTCAGTTGGTTGTTTTGTCAGTTCCTGAAACCTTGTTTTTTGCCAGTACATTCAGTGAAGCTTGGACTTTTTCCTTCTACACCATCAGTTCTTGATCATATGTTACCTCCTAAAATGGTTACACACTGACTTTTTGGTACAGTGACTGTGCATTCCTTCTGTCGTAATGTTTTTTATGTTATTCATTATTTTGCTCATAGTCAACTCATTGCCATTGGGTTAAGTCAATTCATAGTTAGCAATATGTAAGGTTTCTGAGAATGTAAATTTTTACGGAAGCAGGCAGCCTCATCTTTATTTTGCCATGTTGTTGTTAAGTGCCGTTGAGTGGGTTCTGACTCATAGTGACTCTAAATAGGGTTTTTGAGGAGCAGCTGGTGGGTTTGAACTGTTGGCCTTGCTGTTCAAACTGACCTTGCAGTCTACTTTTTATCCTAAATTGCCACACCTATAGTGCCAATTTGTTATCGCTAAGTGCCCTTGAGTCACTTCCTACTCATAGTGACCCTGTGTAGGGTTTCTGAGAAGCACCTGGTAAGTCTGAACAGCTGACTTTGCAGTTCAAACCAACTTTGAGTTCAAGCTCTTGTCCTGTGGCCCCACATTAGGGCTCCATTGTTATTTAAATATGGCATCTCCAGTTTAAAATTTTTCTTCTGTTACTTTCAGTTTGAAAGAAATGCCCAGTGTGTTCTTCCTTTTGGATTTGTAACTCTAGATCTTTGCACAGTCTTGTTCACCTTTTACTTCATTTCTTCCCTTCATTTTAGCTACTCTGTATGTTTAAGAGCAAGTTTCAGTGTCTCTTCTGACGTCTGTTTGGTCTTTGTTTCCTGTCTTTTTAATGACTTTTTACTCAATTCACGTATGATGCTCTTGATGGCATCCTACTCTTGTTTGGTCCTAGATCACTAATGTTCAGTGTGTCAAATCTGTTTTTGAGATGGTGGGATATACTCAAGGTTGCCCTTTGGCTTTAGTGAATTTGTTTAGCCTGAACTTCCATGTGAGCACTTGAAGGTCTGTTCTACATTCAGCCCCTGGCCTTTGCTGACTGAATGATACCGAGTTTCTCCATAGTCTTTCCATACATGCTGTTGATTTGATTCAGATTTTATCTGGTAAAGTCCATGTGTACTGTCGCCGTTTATGTTGTTGATAAAAGATACATGCAGTGAATAACTTACTGGTTTTGCGAAATTCTGTCATGTGATTTTTGATGTTTCTATCACCAAGGCCATATTTTCCAACTACTGATCCTTCTTTGCTTCTGACTTACGCATTCCAAACAACAGTAATTAACTGCATTTTGATTACATGGTTGATTATTTTCAGACTGCAGAATTTGGTAAAAATCTTCAGTTTCTTCATTAGTGGTTTGTGCATAAATTTTAGCAATAATTCTATTAGTGGTTTAAAATAAGGAAAGGTCTGGGTCAGAATTGAATCCTTTCATTATATTTATTCAATTTGTATGTTGAGCAACTAGTCCGAGAAGCTGGAGTATATGAAGAAAGCTGGGGTACTTGAAGAAGAGATAGGCATCAGGATTGGAGGAAGATTTATAACAACCTGTTATATGCATATGACACAACTTTGCTGGCTGAAAGTGAAGAGGACTTGAAGTTTCCAGTATGACTTACACTTAAACATAAAGAAAACAAAAATCCTCACAACTGGACCAGTTAGCAACATCATAGTAAATGGAGAAAATAGTGAAGTTGTCAGAGATTTCATATACTTGTACCCACCATCAACAGCCATGCAGCATTGGATGGCAGCATTCAAGAAATCTAACTGCTTACTGCATTGGACAAGCTTGCTGCAGAAGACCTTTTTAAAGTTTTTAAAAGCAAAGATGTCACTTAGAGGACTAAGGTTTGCCTGATATAAGTTATGATAGTTTAATTCATGTCAATAAATACAGAAAAGCAAAGAAGAATGGATGCATTTGAATTATGGTGTTGGCACAGAATATTGACTATGCCATGGACTATCAGAAGAACAAACAAATCTGTCTTTGAAAAAGTATAACCAGATGCTACTTATAAGCAAGGATGGCAAAACTTGGTTTCATGTACTTTCAACTTGTTATCAAGAGGGGCTAGTCCCTGGAGAATGACATCATGCTTGGTAAAGCTAGTAAAAAAGGGGAAGACCCTCAGCAGAATGGATTGACACAGTGCCTGTAATAATGGTGTCAAACATAGCAAGGTTTGTGAGTGCAGCACTGGACAGTGTCTCATTCTGTTTATGTGGGGTTGCTGTGAGTTGGAACTGATAAGAAGGCACCTAACAACTCCTGTTCTTTTCTCACAACCACCTAGTTCTTTTCCCCAGAGGTAATCATTATGTCTTTATTTAATTCTCACCTTTATATCCTGCCCTTGATGCAAGGATTAATTACCTCCTCCATTGCTTGTACCATTTTGCCTGGAATTTAGTAAAATATATTTGTTAAAGAGCTCCTACTTGTCTAGGTCTGGGGGATGTATCAGTGTTAAAAGGTAAAATCTGTGCTCTCAGCGCTTACTTTATGATTGGGAAGACAATGAAAAGTCATCAAATAAATAAAATTTTCAGAGAGTGATAGCACTGTGAAGAAAATAAAATAGAGAATGTGTGTGTGAATGATAGGGAGCATCAAAAAGTATGTGGGGAAAATTCCGTTATCTTTTAATTCCATTTTTCCGTGAACTTTCTGAAGCCCCATCATAGTAGATGGAGTGGTCAAGTAGATGACCTATGAGATTTGGTTGATAAGGAATCACCATGGGAAGATCTGGGAAAGAGGATATTATTGGGTAGAAAGAACACAGTGCAAAGGCTCTGAGGTAGGAATATACTTGACACGTTAAGGAATAGGAAGAACCCTCCGTCTGGCTGGATAACATATATGATGGGCACAGAGGAAGAAGGTGAGGTGTTCTCTTGTGATCAGTGGCTGCAGAGAACAGATTGTGGTCATCGAGTCTGACTGGTGACATTTAGGAATCATGATGCCACTTATGTTTGTGTTAGACTCATGATAGAAAGACCATGGTCTCTGGAATCAGGCCAGAGATTGCAGCTAAGCTGGGCTATTTACAAGTTTACAAATTCAGTGTCCACCCCTGTAAAGTGGAAGTAATGACATCTACCTTAAGCAATTTCTTTGAGGATTAAATGTGAATTTAAAGCTTTCTACAGGCACACTGTATTTGCACAATAAATGGCAGTATTTTGTGTGTTTCCATTCCATTCTTGCTAGGAGCCAAGGAAGACTGTTGATATAGTTTCTAATTTTTTAATGAATTGTTATCCTGTATAGTTTTGCTTTTGAATTGTGCATTAAAAAGTTTTTTAGCGGTGCTCATTGACAGTTCCCTGTTTTTTAGATGTCTTTTTTTTTCTTTCTTTTTTGCTATTTTCAAAATAATCAAATCAGTTTGGCAAGGAATATGGGACAAAAGTACACCTCATGTTAAAACTGATAATGAAATGACACAAAAACCTTCCCAGCACATACTTTTTTTTTTTTTTTAAATATCTGTATACCGTAAATATTTATAATTAAGGACACATCCCAATCCTTCCAGTGCTCATAGATTAGTCCTGGGACATCAGCAAGAACAGTGCCCGGACTGCGGGGTAAATACTGAACTGTGGGAGCATCAGGGGGTGGGGAGGGGGTCAGTCAAGTCCCTGGAGGAAGTGAGAATCTGAAAGACAAGTAGATGTTAGCTTGGTGGAAACGCAGAAAAAGGCATTCCAGACAAAGGGAATGACGTGGAAAGGTGCAGCGTCCGTCCGGGATAGGCCCTGCGTAGCCTGGGAGCAGACACAGTGCACCGGGGGCTGTCAGCAGAGGCGTTGTAGGAGGGTAGTACCATCGAGGCCCTGCCCCCTCACGGATGGGAGGGCTATGGGTGTGATCAACCAGCCGCGATCTGATGTTAAGCCAACTAGCTGCCAAATTGGGTCTCAGATTTCCCAAAGTAGGTGCAGAGTCCCTTAGGAGCAGGGCTGGGGTCTCCATTGTCTTTCCTAGGGCTTTTCCAGGCTGCGGTACGATACTGGGTCTTTGAAGAGCACCGGGTCCAGGCGGAGACGAGAGGACACCAGTGGCATGTGACCAAACCCTGCTGCCATCAAATTGATGCAGTCCGGGTCAGGAAGCTGCGGCTCCTGCCATGGGTCCCCAGATGCCAGTGGAGGTCTGGTCTCCTGGTGCTGCTTCCCATAGGGCACCTTGACAGGGGGCAGCTTGGTTACTGCTGCTACCAGGAAGTTCATCCACACACGTGGGTTCCTCATCTGCCAGCCTCCTTAAAGTTTGGGGCAGGGAGTGGGTGAACAAAGTGTGGTAATACCTATGATAGAAGGCAGCCGTGGTGAGAACCATGAACCTTCTCAGTAGTGTAGCCCCCAGGCACCTTGGCCCTCATCCCAGAAGCGGCTCCATGTCAGAAAGCCCACCATCCGCTCTGGGCCCATCACATACATACTTTTTAAAAATTCATTTTGGGTCTTGAATTTAGAATTGATATTATGCAGTGCAAAGTTGCTCCATATATATTCATTTTATATAATAACGTTGATTTTTTTTTTACAGAAGTGTTATGAACAGAAGCAGTACAAGAATGGCCTCAAGTTTTGCAAGATGATTCTTTCGAACCCAAAATTTGCTGAACATGGAGGTATTGTGTCCTTTTTGAGAGATTAAATTGTTTTAGGGAAATCTGATTCCCCAATCAGACAGATATGATGTTTAACTGGGAAAAAGAATGACTTAACCTTGAAGCCTCTCAGAGCTCAACATTTGAGTTGTGTTTCCTAGGTCTTAATCTAGATTAATTTCCTTATGCCAGGTATAAATTTAAAGCCTTTTAGATGAGTAGTTGGTTGGTTTTCTAGGTTATATAGTAGATGAGCTTGGTGGCTCTGGTAGGATAAGCACTGGACTGTTTGCCACAGGATTGGTGGTTCGAGCCCACCAGTTGCTCCACAGGAGAAGAGGGATTTCTGCTCCAGTAAAGATTTACAGCTTTGGAAACCCTTTACAGGGTATCGCTGAGTCAGAACTGACTCGATGACACAGAACAAATACAGGAGGTCATCCCTGCTTTTTTGAAACTTTGCTTAATACCACTTAACATTTCCAAAAGACCTACAATAATCTATGTTTTTGATAAACGAAAACAATCCTAAGAGGGCTTTCACTTTTTCAGAAAAAAGGCAAAAAGTGAAACTCGCATTCAGCATTTCTTTTGCAGTTAAAGGGCAGCGTCTACCCTGATTGGGGGGAGTGGCAGTTCCAAGCTCCTCTTAGGAACTGTACTCAGCACCTCAGCCTCAAACCTTCATAATTTTGAACTATGTCTGTTGAACACTAGATGTTAGAGTTATTTTAGGTTTTATGTGCTATTTGTATGGTTTGATGGGTTATTTTGGGGGGTTGGGAATGCTTAGAAGTTTTTGCCATATGAATTGATGCTAATTGTTTCTTCCATTTATACCATTTTGGTTTCTGAAAGGTTTCATAGGAATGCTCTACTGTTGGATAGCGGGGGAAACTGGTACCACTGTTTTTATGGACCTGAATTTCCTGTGTCATTTAGTATAGCATTTAAGTTTATACCTCAGTTTGTAGTGTATAAAATACAAACAGTGTTTGCATACAGGCAGTCCAGGTTATGAATGTCAGACTTACAGTCACCTCCTACTTGCCCTTTAACCAAAACCAAGAACCAAACCCATTGCCATCAAGTCGATTCCCATTCATAATAACCCTACCTAGGGTTTCTGAGACTGGAATTTTTTCTGAGAACAGACAGCCTCATCTTTTTCCGGCAGCTAGTGGGTTTGAACTGTTGACCTTGCAGTTAGCTATTTATTGCCTACTCCACAGTGCCTGCAGAACTCCTTATTTGCCCTTTAATGTTACATAAACTTGCCCTCACTTTGAAACAATTGAAACAACCCCTATTTGCAACAAATTATTCATCACAGTGTCCTTCACTTGGTGCAATGACAGCTTTTAAAGTAATTGAAAAGGCTTCCAGTGTTTTCTTGAGCAAAAGTAAGGCTAGAGAACTGCGTACACCTGTTCTGATTCACCTGCCCATTTCACTGAAAGAAACAGGAACAGAGCTCATTCATAACCCAGGGACTAATGTATTGAAGTAGTAATATGAGGATACAGTCAAAATATTTTATTCTTTGTTAGGTATGTATTTTGTATATACTTGCTGACTTTAATGTGTACCTGTGATGCTATTGGTTTACAGTTAGATTGTGTATCTTGAGTTGTTTTTCTAGTACTGGTGGTGGTGTTCAGTCTATATATTTGTGTCACCTTTCTCACTGGTAGCTAGTGTTAGAAGGATGGATCAGGTTAGACATGCAAATAATGGTCCTGTAGCAAAGCAAAACTAATTGTGATCTCTTAAACTTTTTAGCTATAAAACCCTTTCCCTTGGGAGCGTGTAAGGAAGTTCACTGTGTAAACAGATAAAAGATGTTTGGCTGCAGGGGTCTGGGCTGCATGATCACCGTTTTCTGAAGGGAACCATAAGAGTCCACAAAACTCAGTTTGAAAACTACTAACGTTTCCTAATAATGTGTATTATTCAGAGAATTATTTCATCTTAAACCCCCCTTTAATTAACTTTCTGACAAATTTTTCAATTGTCATTTCCATAGTCCAGTGTGGTACTCTCGAAATATACCCTACTATTAATTAGGTGGAATAAACTTGCTGTGAAAACTGAAATCTGTTCCAGTGTTGAATAGCCTGTAAATTGTGTGTATGTCTTTAAGGGAGATTAATTAGTTTTGTAGGGAGCAAAGCAGTGATTTAACTATAAATGATCTCAGGTGAAAGCCATGGGACTGCTTTTGAATAGCTTTAATTCAGTAAAAACTCATGTGTCTATTCCTCGGCAGAGTAACTGCAACCCTTAAGTAAAGCTTTCTAAAGGACAGTAATTTAGTCTCAGTCTAAGGAATTTCAGAAAGAACTTGGACTGTATTTAAGCAAATACTTGCATATAATTTTGCTTTTTGTACTTGGAGATAAGTTCTTCTAACTAAGGAATTCAAAAAGATGAATAATGATGGAAGAGAGAAGTGGGGAGTTCCTACTTAAGGGGTATGGAGTTTCTGTTGAGGATCATGAAAAAACTTGGAAGTTGATAGTGGGGATGTTGCACAACATGCTGAATGTAATTATTGTTACCGAACAATATTTGTAAAATGGAAATGGTTGAAATGGAAAATGTTTTGTTATATATTTTAAATACAAGAACAGTGAATAATAAATTGAAACAGTAATAATCCTTCAGATCTCAAATATTAAGATTAAAGAGAGAAAGTAGTATCTTTCTTGTGTAATTGGAGGTTAACTTTGTTTTTCAGAGACTTTGGCTATGAAAGGATTAACATTGAACTGTTTAGGAAGGAAAGAAGAAGCGTATGAATTTGTTCGTAAGGGACTGCGCAGTGATGTCAAGAGTCATGTCTGTATCCTTTTACAGTAGATGGAGAGTTTAATTTCATTGATGCATTTTCCACTTACTAGATTTTGTAGTTCAAATGAAAAAACCTTTGTCAAAAATGTAGATTTACACAAGATGTACCTACATCTCAGTAATTAGTCAGTATTTTGTGATGTTTGTTTCATCTGTTCCCTTTCCATTTGTTTGCTGACTGGAGTATTTTAAAGAAAATCCCCATGGAATGTATGTATGTGTTTACTTCAGTTGTGCTTAGTGTGAGAGAAAAGTTACTTTGATAATTTTATTTGAACTTGAAACTCACTGCTTTTTTCTTACACTTCTATGAGCTGAGTGAAATGTTGCTATTTTCCAAATAACTGGCTTTTATCTATTTACTAGTAAAATTTGTTTTCCTTAAACTTTCTTTTAGAAATTCAGAGGAAACGTGTTTAAAACAGACTTAATATTAAGCATGACATGTTTGTTTTTGGGCTTGGCCTCTGTTGCTCTGGGACATAGATGTTACTTAGCTGGATATACAGAATGGTCTTGGTATTAGTTTTACATATTTAGCTTAGTGGTCTCTCAAAACATTAAGTACTTATTTCTTTATCTCAGTGCTTTCTCCAGAGTGAAAAGAGGGCATGCAAGTATGATAGGGTTTTGTTGTTGTTTTGGTTTGGTTTTAAGATAGACTTTACAATAAACAAAACTCAGGTTTTGTTGCTTTTTAATATTAGCCATTTAAATAATTAGAGCTACATGGTATTTGAAGATTGGTTGGATGTAAACTTAACTAGTTTAAGAGATAATTGCAATTTTTGTGTAGTAGTCTATTGTGGAGTCCTGTGTATAGCATAGACTATTCTAGTGTCTGTGAATGTCTCTATTTCCTTAACTTACTAGGTTGGCATGTATATGGCCTCCTGCAGCGTTCTGATAAGAAATATGATGAAGCTATTAAGTGTTATCGAAATGCCCTGAAATTAGATAAAGACAACCTGCAAATTCTGAGGGATCTCTCTCTGTTGCAGATTCAAATGAGAGACCTTGAAGGTTACCGAGTAAGTACTTTAATATGAAATCTGTATATTTTTACAATACATATAATTGAAAGGCATGCACATTTAGAATGCGTGAGCATAGCTGAAATCATGTATATTTGATTGCTCATTACAGTTTGTATTAGAATGGGAAAGGCACATGGGACCTCTACAGTAATAGTTAATGGAACTTTTCTACTTAAGCATTAAAAAAGATAACTTTATTTAAAATTGTTCTTAAAAACACAAATGCTGTACTTAATTCTCTGTGACTTTGACATTTACAAATTTGGTCAAACCAATAACATTTTTATACTTGAAATAGAAACATCAAAACAAAACCAGTTACTGTCGAGTTGATTTCACTTCATAGTAGAACTATTCTCCATGGGGTTTTCATGGCCTTTTTGGAAGCAGAACACCAGGATTTTGTTCCAAAGCACCTTTGACTCCACAAACTGTCAACCTTTGGTTAGTAGCAAACGAAATTGTCGCACCATGCAGCGACACCTGAAATATGAGCATGTTGTTGTGAAGTGCTGTTGAGTTGGTTCCGACTTATAACGACCCTGTATTGGGTTTCAGAGGCTGTGTAAGCCTTAATGTGTGCAGAAAGTCTCTTCTTTCATCTGAGGAGTGACTGGTAGATTTGAACTGCTGACCTTACAGTTAGCAGCTCAACTTGTAACCCACTATGCTACTGGGGCTGGAAATATAAGCATCGTAATATTTATTCATTGTCTTTACTATGAATTAGTAAATACAAAACTGTGAGAACTATTGCCATGAGTCAATCTTTTGTAGTTCAGACCCCACCAGACTTGGCATCTTCACCTGTTTGCTGGGCATTTCCATAACTTACTGTTTGTTATTCACTTAGTACCCTAAATCCAGTATTTTCAAAATAAAATTGGCTGTTTTTCTTATGGGAAGGTAGTCACCAACCGTTAGTGATTTTGAAAATTAAATCTTCCATTTACTTCTTACTCTACCTTATGCTACCCAGTGACTCCATAAGATAAGCCCTGGACTGTTAACCACAAGGTTGGTGGTTTGAGCCCACCAGCTGCTCAGAGGGAGAAAGATGATGCTTTCTGTTCTTGGAAACATTTAATGTCTCAGAAACCCTATACAAGATTGCCATTATGAGTTGGAACTGACTCGACAATACTTAGCAACAACAACAACCACACAGTCCTGGTGTGGTGCTGTAGTATAAGCACTGGATTGCAATGTCAGGTTAGTGGTTCAAACCCATCAGCTGCTCCTCGGAAGCCCTATACAGGGTCACTATGAGTTAGAATAGAGTTGACAGTGGTTAGCAGCAGCAACAACAATAACCCACTGCTACTCTGACTCGTAGCAGCCCTGTAAGGCAGAGTAGAACTGCTCCTTAGGGTTTCCAAGACTCTCAGTCAGCCTCATCTTTCTTCAGCAGAGCGACTGGTGAGTTTGAAGTACTGACCTTGAAGTTTGCAGCCCAGTGCCTAACCCACTGCACCACCAGGGCTCCTCCTTTGCCTTATGTTGCTGTATAAATCCCTCTACCCTGTGTCCAGATTATTACAGTTGTTTCAAGGGCTTCTTTGAACTTAATGGGAGTATTCTTTAAGGGTGTGTGATTTTCTTCAGCAGTGTTATCAGTCTATGTGTTATGGTAATTAAGATCAGTGTGGCGCTGTAGGCTGCTAATGTGTTAGACTACAAAGTCATATGAACTGCAAGGTTGGTGGTTCAAGCTCACCAGCTGCTCCTTGGAAACCCTATACAGAGTTGCTATGGGTTGGAGTCAACTCGACAGCACTTAACAACAACAACTTTAGGAATAAGCCAAGGGAGTCGTTGCTAAGCTTAGTTAGTGAAACTAATTGAAAATAAATAAAGGCTGGTAGTGAGATGTGAAGAATTCAAGAAACTAGAGATACTGGTAATGTCAGAGAACAAAGGTAGGAATGTCGCAAGGTGAGAGTGTTGGCATAGAAGTTATGATCAGAGAGAGAAAGGTCTTGATTTATGCTATCTGGGTGACAGTAAAGTTCAGGGTGTAGTTGTGGGAGTGGGTCCCTGAGTGAGTGGAAGAGACGGTCATTAAAGAGAACTCTTAGAACTGAAAAAATAGGTTGTTGGATAGGTGATTCCCATATTAGTGTTGCATTTACTCAGCATAATGGCAGGGTTTGTGAGAAAAGAAAACTGAGCCAGGTGCCAGATGTTGGAGGGGAAGTGAGAGAGAAGCCATAGTGAAAACCAGGGGCTGAGAGTATATAGCTTAATGTCATATGCTGTTAGTGTTCTTCGTCAGACCTTGTTTGTTCAAATAGTTGCACTATATCCTAAAATTTGGAGATAGGAATAAGCTATGAGATGTAGAGTCTGTGTAGGGAAGCTGGATTTAAAAAAAAATTTTTTTTTTTTTTTTTTGATAGGGTGTCTTGATTCTTCTGAGGCAGCCATGATGGTGTTTCTGGTTTTTTATTTCTAGTGTCATAGGTGATGGTTTGTCTTGACAGTGACTGCAGTAGTGTTTGTATGACAAGAGTCCCATTGTATGTGTGGGTGTTTCCCTTGGCAGTGCCTGCTTTTGTTCCTAGCTGTGAGGCATTCAAGCTATAGGGTCCATTGTGATAATGTAAGCACACTGTAATTCCCTACAACACTTTTATAAATAGCATATTACCATTTCCAAAAGCTGCCTTTGTCTCTGTTCCAAGCTGTGTAGTTACTATAAGAAATTCTTATTGCATAAACGTACTTTGTTAAGACAGCTCAAAAGCATGGGCTCCCAGAACAGCTTTTCAGTTACAGCCTTACAGTGAGCATTACAGGGTGGTCTGGAACATAATTTAAAATAAGGAATATTAGATGTATTTCTTTTATCTTTTAGAACTGATGTTTGCTGATTGAATTCATTACAAAGATATCAAATGTAATTGTTTTCTTAAAACTGTCATGGGATGTAAATATTTGAGGAAGTTAAACAACTTTTAAAACATTTCTTGTTTTGTTTTGAAGGAGACAAGGTATCAGCTTCTTCAGTTGCGCCCAACACAGCGAGCTTCCTGGATTGGATATGCAATTGCATACCATTTGCTGAAAGATTATGATATGGCACTAAAACTACTAGAAGAATTTAGACAAACACAGCAAGTAAGAACTTCACTTTAACATTCTCTGCTGCCTTTACAAACTCAGATAGTTGACTTTTAAATTGTCTTCCCTCCCCGCCCCCCATACATGAATTAAAAGGAGCTCTTGTAGCATAGTGGTTATGATTATGGTCAGTAGTTTGAAACTATCAGCTGTTCCGTGGGAGAAAGATGAGGCTTTCTGTTCCTGTAAAGATTTACAGCCTCGGAAACCCTGTACAGGGTCGCTATGAGTTGGAACTAACTCCACAGCACATAACAACAATAATAACATGAATTAAGGTTTTTGAAACTTAAGGAAAAACTTGACGTTTTTTGAATTGGTTAAAGTTTAGACCTAGAACTGAATACAAAATAAGTACTATAAAATTTTTGTATACCATGATATCAATAATATTCCAATGGTTAAAGGTAGAAAAAATATACAAAAATGAAAATACCGTTGGGGCTCTGGAGATTGTTTCTTTAATATAGATTTTATATTTTATACAAACAAGTTTCTAATACGTATATGCATTTTATACAAACAAGTTTCTATTCTATTATTTTATACAAATAAGTTTCTAATATATATATACATTTTATACAAATAAGTTTCTAACATGGTGTGGCACTATGGAATAAAGCAATGGACCACAAGGTCGGTTTGAACCACAATGTCGGTGGTTCAAATTCACCAGCTGCTCCTTGAAAACTATATAGGATCACTGAGTTGGAACTGACTCGATGGCACTTAACAGCAACAACACCAGAGAGACTACTGTATTTTTTGCAAGTAATGTGCCCAATATGCTCATACATATATATTGTGCATAGTATGCTTAGGACACTAACACATAGGTGGGTCGTGCCGTGTGGTTTGTGAAACCAAAAAACCCACAACCACCTTAATTCACATGTGTTATTGACCTAAAAATATGGTAAGTAGATGATAATATTTGCCATAATTGCTCCAGGTCTTTTTCAAAGAAATAAAATGTTTCAAAAATGGCCAAAGCTCTTCCATGTGTATCTTCAAAGGTAATAAGTACCCTCAAGTTGGTGTAGATCATTCCCAGTCATGTATATACATCCACAAATGATATAAATTGTATTTTATGTATTTAAAATTTTACATGAAAAGCAATTTTTTTATTCGATACTTTAAAAATATATGTCCATTTGGATACATGTAAGACTAGTTTTTCCATTTTTAAATACAGTTTGGGGTTTGCCTTAATTATCTAGTGCTACTTACTAGTAATATGACAAATGGATGTCTTTTTTAATTGACAAATGGATATCTTTAACAAATTTATTTCCTCACAGTTTAGGAGGCTAGAAGTTTGAATCCAGGATACTGGTTGTAGGGGAAAGACTCTCTCTGTTGATTCTGAAGGAAGGTGCTTGTCTCTGAGCTTTTGTTCCTGGATGATCTGCATGTGGCTGGACATCTCTTTCCATATTTCTGCTGCTTTCACTTGTTCGTTTAATCTCTTTTATATCTAAAAAGAGATGAACTTAGACACAAGTTACCTGATCCTGTCTCGTTAACAGAATTAATAACCCATTTTCAAATGGAATTATAATCACAGACAAACAAAATAAAACCCACTGCCATGGAGTCTCACAACAACTCTATAGGACAGAGTTAAACTGCTTAGGATTTCCACAGTATGAATCTTTACAGGTGCATACAGCTCCATCTTTCTTCCACTGAATGGCTCTGGCGGGTTTCAACCCAGTGGTTTTCCTACTACGCCACTGATTTACAACACATTTTTTAGAGGGCACCATTTAATCCACTGCGTTTTACCCTTTGGTACCCCCAAATTGTTGTTCTTCCCACATGCAAACTTACCCCATCGCTTTAACCCAAAAGTCTTAAATCCACTTCAGATCTAAAATCTCTTCTTTGAAGTCATCTACATCAAATAATGGACTCCTGGTATGGCACTGTAGAATAAGCACTGGACTCTGAACCACAAGGTCTGTGGTTCAAACCTACCAGCAGCTCCTTGGAAACCCTATACAGGGTCACTATTGCCCAGGACCGACTATGAGTGAGATTTTCAGTACATTTCATCTTGGGCCAAAATTCCTATTCATCTGTGAGCCTGGTAAATCTATACTGCATGTTATCTGCTTCGGACTGAAGAAGTTGGTAGAATTCTTCAGTCTCGTCATCATGGTCTTTAGAGATTGGTACATAAATTTGAGTGATAGTATTACTTGGTCTTCCTTGTAGATGTATGAATATTGTTCTGTCACAGACAGCAATATGCTTCAAGATAGACCTTGAAATACTTTTCTTGACAGTGAATTCGACGCCATTTCTTTTTTAGTTTGTCCTTAGCATAATAAATCATGATGTCTGCTTATTAATGCCTACGGTATTGATCTTCATGTGTTCCATTTCATTTTGTCACCTTCCAATTTTCCTAGATTCATACTTCTTACGTTTCACATTTCTGTAAGCCAGTGAGGATGAAATAAAAGAATTCTACCAACTTCTTCAATCTGAAATCGATCAAACATGCAATCAAGATGTATTGCTCATTACTAGTGATTGGAATGTAAAGGTTAGGAGCAAAGAGGAAGGACCAGTAGTTGGAAAATATAGCCTTGGTGATAGAAATGATGCTGGAGAATGCATGATAGAATTCTGCAAAACCAAGATTTGTTTATTTCAAATACCTTCTTTAGACAGCATAACAGATGATTATACACATGGACCTCACCAGATGGAATACGTAGAAGCCAAGTTGACTACATCTGTGGAAAGAGATGATGGGAAAGCTCCATATCATCAGTGAAAACAAGGCCAGGGGCAGACTGTGGAACAGACCATCAATTCCTCATATGCAAATTCAAACTGAAACTGAAGAAAATGAAAACAAGTCCACTAGAGCCAAAATGTGACCTTGAATTTATCCCACCTGAATTTAGAGATCATCTGAAGAACAGATTTGATACATTAAACACTAAAAACCAAAGACCAGAAGAGTTGTGGGATGACATCAAGAACATCATACGTGAAGAGAGCAAAAAGTCATTAAGAAGACAAGAAAGAAGGAAAAGGTCAAAATGGATGTCAGAAGAGACTCTGAAACTTGTTTTCCAACTTAGAGATGCTAAAGCAAATGGAAGAAATGAGGAGGTCCAAGAACTGAACAGAAAATTTCAAAGATCAGCTTGGGAAGATAAAGCCAAATATTATAATAAAATGTGCAAAGATTTGGAATCAGAAAACCAAAAAGGAAGAACATGCTCAGCATTTCTCAAGCTGGCAGAACTGAAGAAAAAATTCAAGCCTCGATTTTCGTTATTGAAAGATTCTCTGGGCAAATTATTGAATGATGCAAAATGCCTCAAGAGAAGGTGAAAGAAATACACAGAGTCATTGTACCAAAAGGAAGTAGTTAATGTTCAGCCATTTCAAGAGGTACCATATTATCAAGAGCCAATGATACTGAAGGAGGAAGTCCAAAGTGCATTGAAGGAATTGGCAAAGAACAGAGCACCAGGAACTGACGGAATAAAAATTGAAATCTTAAAGCGAGGCGGCACAGGAGGCACTCACTCATCTCTGCCAAGAGAGGTTACCCAACGGAATGTGGAAATCATTGGACAATCTCTTTGATATCTCAAGCGAGTAAAGTTTTGCTAAAGGTAATACAGAAATGGCTACAATTGTACATTGACAGAGAACTTCCAGAGGTTCAAGTTGGATTCAGAAGAGGCTGTGGAACGAGAGATATCATTGCTGATGTTCGATGGATCTTAGCTGAAAGCAGAGAATATCAGAAAGATGTTTACCTATGTTTTATTGAGTATGCAAAGGCTTTCAATTGTGTGGATCATGGACAACATTGTGAAGTATGAGTATTCCAGAATACTTAATTGTACTCATGAGGAATCTGTACCTGGACCAAGAAGCAGTTGTTTGAACAGAACATGGGAACACTGAATGTTTTAAAATTAAGAAAGGTGTGCGACAAGGTTGTATTCTTACACCATACTTATTCAACCTGTATGCTGAGCAAATAATACGAGAGGCTGGGTTCTAAGAAGAAAAACGTGGCATCAGGATTAGAGGAAGACTCATTAACAACCTGCGATACGCAGATGATACAACCTTGCTTGCTGAAAGTGAAGAGAAATTAAAACATTTGCTTGCTGAAAGTGAAGAGGAATTAAAACATTTACTGATGAAGATCAACGAGCACAGCCTTCGGTATGGACTATATCTCAATGTCAAGAAAACAAAAATCCTCACCACTGGACCAATAAACAACATTCTTATCAACGGAGAAAAGATTGAAGTTGTAAAGGACTTCATTCTTCTTGAATCAACTATCAACACTCATGGAAGCAGTAGTCAAGAGATCAGATGAGGTATTGCAAATCTGCTGTACAGGAACTTTTTTTATAAAGTGTTGAAGAGCAAAAATATCAGCTTGAGGACTAAGGTTCGCCTGATCCAAGCCATGGTGTTTTCAATGACCTCATATGGATGTGAAAGCTGGACAAAGAATAAGGAAGATCGTAGAAGAAAGAATTGATGCCTTTGAATTATGGTGTTGGAAAAGAATACTAAAAGTGCCATGGGCTGCCCAAAGAACCAATAGATCTGTTTTGAAGAATTGCAGCCAGAGCTCTCCTTAGAGGCCAAGATGGCCAAAGTTTGTCTCATAATTTGGACACATTGTCCGGAGGGAACAGTCGCTAGAGAAGGATATCATGCTTGGTAAGCTGGAGGGTCAGAGAAAAAGAGGAAGACCCCCAACGAGATGTATTGGCCAGGTGGCAGCATTGATGGACTCAAGTGTGGCAACAGGTTGGCCCAGGATCGGACATTGTTTCGTTCTGCTGTGCATAGGGTCGCTATGAGTCGGTTCCGACTCGATGACACCTAACAATATCAGCAACATTATTAGTAGATGTTTGCAGTGATTTATCTTTAGTTTTTGTTGTGTTCCATAAGCAGTTGAGAATCTTGATAGCTGTGCTCCATCCATG